CAAGCCTGCACTCCAAGTTATATACTTGCTTATTGAATTCTCAAGTAGTTTATGATGAAATGCAATTTTTTTATATCTTCTTGTCTTATATCTTCATCAAACTACTTTCATTCTCTCTCTACATGGAAATTTTATTTCTTCTCAAATTATAACATTCTTTTTAGTTGTCATTGCTCATTAGCTGATTTGTTATTACATCTATACACTGATTTGTTTAAAATATTTTTCTCACATTCTATTGAATCTCCTCCTCTGTGCATTATGTTATCCTACATATGATAATTTAAGGAACGATCATGGGTTTATAATCAAAGAATACTATCTCCATTGACATACCTTTTGGGGAAGCCCAAAGCTCCCAAAGCAAAGCCATGAGAGCTTATGCTCAAAGTGGACAATATCATACCATTGTGGAGAGCCTGTTCAACTAACATGGTATCAGAGCATCTAACACATTATAGTTACCAATTAGATGTATTAAATTGTATGAGTAAAGCTAAAGACCTGTTGTGAGTTTGATGTGAATGACAGTTTTGGATTGTTGTTTGTATTATCTCTAGTCGATTTGTGGGTAATAAATAAAAACAGAGCTAACAGAGAGATCATTCACTTACCATATAGTTCTTTGACCATCTTTTTCCCTTCCTCGTCCTCCTTTTTCGGATATGTTGTAGCACTAAATAATACTATATGGGTTTTTTTTCACCTGCAGTACTGAGAAGGATTTTGGACCTTCACATGATAAGAGATTTACTTGCTCCGTTAAAATTTCCCCTCCTTCTGGGATGCTGTATATGGTGGGAGATGAGAAGTCAAGAGTAAAGGATTCAGAGAACTCTGCGGCCTCTATGATGATTCGTGCTTTACAGGAGAAAGGGTATCTCTAATGCTTTATTTATTCAATTGGACAGAATCTAGCATATTTCATGTCCAACTATTGGATCAGCTTGGAAAAATTCGTTTTCATCTTTATTTTTTTTCTTTCTTTTATACTTATTTATACAGGTAGATATCTTGTGAATCCTTAGTCTAGTTTGCCTTTCTGAGTAAAACTTGTATTAAATTCAGTGTTCATTCGTCGAAATGTAAAATTCAAGCCAACCAGTTTAGGTTGTCATGATGCGGTGTAAACCGATTGATATCGGGTCTGCTTGGTGCATGTTTGGGAGCTATTTTAGAATAGGGAAAGTAGAGTAGATGGATGGGGATGGTCGTAATTTATAGCCAAATTTGGAAGATGAATTAGTTTTACATAGTACAAGGCCTTCCATGATTTAAAAGATTAATTTGTTAACAGTTTGGAACTTCTGATTTTTAACCATCAACTTTGAATTTTTGAATCCAATCATATGCATATGATCTGTGGACCCTTTCCATTTGAAGTTTAGATTTTGTTTCAAGTTCTTTTGAATTTATAAATTAATTTTGTATCAAAGAGTCTTCTGGTCTTTCTCATGTATATCATCAACACATCTCATTGATCTTCCATTGATGCTGAGAGGTTTTTATTTATTTGTTTGTTTGTTCGTTCTACCCAGATTGGTTAGTCGAGCATTTCTCTAAATTCTTGTATATTCTTTTCATACTCTTGTTCCACTCTTTTTGTTGAGGTTAAAAAACCGTTTTAGCCCTAAACTTTTAAGGTAACTAAAAATTAGTTCTTATATTTTAAATTTTGTATAACAATTTAATCTAGTTTATAATTGGATCTTTCCATTTATTTGGCTTGCATACTTAATTATTGAAATTAACTTTGGTTTAAAGTATAGGAACTCTTAGTGATAAGTAAATAAATGCCTCTAGGGTTACTTTAAATATTTTATAGTTCAAACCAAAGTTCAAACCACCTCCAAATGACTTAGAATTCTAAGTAAGACCCTTTTATAAGGACAGATATTTGAGGTTTCAAGGTATTTGAATTAGGTTTATAACTTAAACCATGACTGGGATGATAAATGGCCTAAATGCTCGGAGTTTTCAAAGCCTCAAATGAGCTTAAAATGTTATGAAACTTTTTAAGAGGTTCATTTATGATATGAATGGTTATGCAAGGTCCAAAGGACATTAAAATATGTTTGGGAGATAATTTTAAACTTAAAGGAAATGATTAAATTATTCTAAAAGCCCTTAATAAGGATTCATGATTTGCCAGAGATCCTTAAGAAACATGTTATGATCTCTATAAAGACTTGGGCAAACTATTATGACAAGTTCACATGTTCATGACTTGCTCTTAGATTAGAGATTATGAACTCATGTTAGAACTTATGTATGTCATGGTCGTGCCTTAAGACTAACTTTTCGAACAATAATCCAAGAATCCATGAGACTAGGAAAACACTCTCTCCAAGGACAAGTACCAAAAAAAGAGCCGGGGCACAAGCCCTAAGCCCACCAAGACTTAAAGATATAATGACATGAAATGTTACAAGGTAAAAGACGAACATATCCCTTACGGGCACTTTATTTTTCCCTTCCTAAGTATCTTGAAATTCCCTCTCAATTAAAAATCTGAGAAATATACTTAAAATTATAAAAATGACATTTTGTCATTTATTCTTAATATTTCCTTTCCAAACCTTTTTTCAAAGACCTTGAATAGTTAAAATTTTGTTAGGGTATTGAAATCACTTAATCACCTTATTCTTGCTTGAGTGTCTTAGTCGAAATCACTTACTTAACCATCTTATTCTTGCTTGAGTGTCTTAGATGTACCGAGGAATTTCCACTTCGTAACCATTTTACCCTTTTTTTACTTAAAATTTCCTTTTAAACTTTCGTGGGGCCATCTACAACACATAGTGCATTACATTGTTCCTTTTGTACGTGTACAAGCTCATAACTTAAATAACTTAAAAAAACACTAATGTTACCTCTGTTCTAATATCTAAAATCTTCTAAATTTAAATTGTGAACAATATGAATAGTCATTTACCGCCTTTAACCAACCAACCTAAAATTTGCAACCTATCCTTGAAGCTCCACTTGAAATATCTTGGTACTAAATGAAACTTGACAACATGCAAGGTAAAATATCATCGTCCAACTTGAAGTCTTTATGACATGATTAAAACATTCTATTTTATATCCGACCTCTTAGTATGATGGAAAACCAAAGTTTGAAGAGACCATTTACATCGGTGCCCATAGCTCTACTTGATATTTGTTTCTTATAGGAATTCTCAAGATTTTGTAAGATAAAAGGCAAATCTTCTTCTTTTTTTTTTTTTTTTTTTTTTTTTTTTTTTTTTTTTTTTTTTTTT